CATCATCACTACTACATACACACGCATCATCACTACTACATACACACACCTTCACTATGACACACACTCATCATCACCACTACAACTACTCCACTAGACTATTAATACAAAGTTCCAACCTTATTATACGGTTTTCGTACTCCGAGGCCCAATTTTCACGTTTACCTCCTTGGATGACTTGAGAATATCTTCATCAAAATCAGTAAAATGACTGAGCAAGAGGTAACCTACATTGGTGCTTATCACCCTTGTCTTTTGGACGTGCGTGCTCTCAAGGAGCGTGATGTCAGGATTATCTTCGCAAACACACGTCGTCCCTTTGGTCAACTATGTCGGATTGTGGTAGGTCCCGAACTCAACAAGGAAAGCTGCCTAGGATATGGTGAGGGCATGCTCTTAACCCTCGCTCTGGAGGACAGCATGCATTCAGTATCCGTCTTCCGCTGCAGAGACGGCCGCTTTATTTATTTTGATCCAACACCCCGTCCCGTCCACTCCACCTTCTTGGATTACATGGCTCGTCACAATATTTCCAAGCAGAACGTCAGTGTGGTGAAGGCCTTCATTCAACGGCCTGGGTACAATAGCTGCGCCTACCACGCCATCTCCTTCCTCGATTATGCCACCTCATTCGGTCTCCGTGACTGTTGGCTTTTATTAAAATATAAAGATCACCTAGGAACCTTCACCGACCTTACTGTTATCCGCCGCGTGCAGTTCCTCTTGACTGAGTTTGTTAACGACGTTAACCTCTCCGTTAAGGCCACCCCAAGAGGCAACTGTGTTTTGAGAGACTTTGTTCCAGCACAACGGAAAACTGCCCAGCCGAAATGAACCTTTCTTCAACTTCATCCTACATACCGAGCAGCTAACCAGAGAGTGTGGATGCTCGTTTCAGTGCCCCCACCAATAGAGCAGCAGGTAGAGAAGAGACACGACTACCCAAGAAGTCAAGATGGCCGCTGATGGCCGCTGATTGGTCTTCAAAATTAACTTACTAGTATGTCCAAAAAAAAAAAAAAAAAAATAGTCTGTCTACAGCACGTCAATGGAGGTCTACAATTTTAATGTAGACCTAGCGTAGATACAGTATATAAATTTTAATTTCCTCTTAGATATATATACTGTATTTACGCTATTATATTTTTACTGGATTTAATTATCCAGTGTCTTTAACAATGCACTGTTTGATAATTTATTGTAACAATCCTGGTGAAGGTTGTTGAGAAGACGCCAATTTACCACCTGTGCCGTGTGTATATACAAGACCCCACCCACGCTTGACGTCCAGTGTCTGTACACTCCCGACATATGTTCCGACCGGCAGCCCGGCACTTCTGTATCACATAATTATGTTTATGATGCTCTGTACTGTCATATTGATTAATTATCAGTGTAAATACTTGTAAATAAACATATTTTGTTACAAATATCTATAATATTCTTCAATGTCCTTGGTGAAAGCGGAAGTGTTCCACCTGACAGTAAGCCTTAAAAGAACCAGAGGGCGTTAACATCTACCCACAACAAATGGCGTAATGAGTAGGTTCCTGTCGGAACCTTTTTCACATCACCAAGTGACACTTTAATAAACTACTGTATTATTGATGTTAGAATATGTCCTCAGATTAAGTTTATTTGACACGGGATACAAGGAGTGACCAGCCATACTTCATGATTATGAGTGATTACCTGTTTGTATCGAGGTACTGAGGTGAGTGTATTATTTTAGTCGTTGGGGAAATTGAAGTGTGATAGATCCTAAACATTTGGTGAGCGACCCATTCGTGTTTGCGTCTCACTTAACAGTTGTTCGCGTTTATGTCGAAGCTGTCCGGCCTTCGTCCCCGTGTAGTGTTTTATTTCGTCACAATGCTGTGTTCACATTATTGTGGTAGGCTCCGTGCGAGTGTTGTTACCCTTAATTAGCACAGTAAGGAGATCAGTTGTCGGTTGTTGTATCGAGACCGTGGGTTCCTGGGTGGATGTAGTCAGTGCTTCGTTCACCAGTTCGTGAGTGTTAGTTTACACGCTCAACGATCATACATTTTGGTTCGAAAGTTTAATGTTTCATAATTATTGTCTGAGTTACAATATTATGATTTACTTTCATGGTTACCTTCAATATAGTTGAGAGTATTAAACTAGGAAAGGAAGCCGGTCTATCTGCTGAAAGTATTAACTCGCTTATAAAGAAAGAGGAACATAAATGTGCACAGGCATTTGAAAGGGATGAACGACAAAAAGAGAGAGTTAAAAAGACTAAAATTTGAGTTTGAAGAAGCTGAAAAACAAAGGAGTCACGAGTTAGCTATTGGTCAGATTGGCTCAGATTCTAGTGAAGGTCATGAGGATACCAGCATGAAAGGCTGTTTTAAAGATCTTCGCTTACCTACATTTACAGAAGGTCAAGATGAAATAGACTCATATCTCCTCAGATTCGAAAGACTCGCAGAGCTTCATGGTTGGTAGAAGAAAGATTATCGCGTATATCTTGGTTCATCATTAAGAGGTAAAGCGTTGAAGACTTACAGTATGTCATCCTTCCTCGTGAAGTTGTTGAGGACTACAATCAGCTAAAGGAGACATTATTACGGGCATACTCGATTGATGCCGAGTCATACCGACGCAAGTTTAGAGGCAAATATTTCTGACAAATGAAAATCATTTTCAGTTAGTATCTAGAATAGAACAATACTTAGATGGGTTTCACTTAGCAGCATAAATAAAACCTATGAAGATTTTCTCTCATTTCATGGTTAGCGATCAAATTTTAGGTATTTGTCATCCGGATCTAAGAATGTTCCTAAAGGAAAGGTCTTTGCCAGTTCATTTCAGATGTCTCAAGGTGCTGATAGATATAGATCGGCTCATAAATATTCAAAGCCAAGTAGTGTAACTATGGAAAAATTTATACCTTTTCCTGAGACTAAATGCAACAACAGCTTTTTTAGAAGGTCAAATGTAATCAGTCACTACTGTTATAATCCAGGACATATAAAACCTGACTGCCCTGAGTTACAACCTAAGAGCAAAGTTAACGAGGAGAGACTTGGCTCCCTTCCTCTGGCCCAGTCGGTCACCTGCTAACTCTTTTTATTCTTGGTCACATTGGTGTGAACTGCTGCACTCCTAGCCTTGTATGTCAGCACGCCAGCTAGGACACTGTCAGCCCTAGCCTTTGTGTTGTTCCTCCCGGGTCCATTATCAAGTACCTGTGCCGGTTAGGAGGATACTTGATCTCCTATGAAGTTGTTGAGAAGACGCCAATTTACCACCTGTGCCGTGTGTATGCTACGTTTTTTTTTTTTTGCGAAATCGGTTATTTTGCGAAATAACTTACAAACAGACAACCTAAACTAACCTATCCTTATGGTTAGGTTACGTGAGAGGTTAGGTCAGGTTAGGTTAAGATGGCTCGTGTAGTTTGATACATAGTTAAGTGGTCCTGTTTTTGTTTTTAACTTTGGTTAGCCCGTTCGTAAGTTATTTTGCAAAATTACCAGTATGCATGCCGGGAATTTTACAAAATAACCGATTTCGCAGAGGAAAAAAAAACGTAACATATATACAAGACCCTCACTTGACATCCACTGTCTTCACTCCCGACATTTGTTCCTACCGGCAGTCCGGCACTTCCATACCACATATGTTTATGATGCTCTGTACTGTCTTCGCGCCAATTATCAGTGTAAATACTTGTAAATAGACATCTTTTGTTACAAATATCCATAATATTCTTCAATATCTTTGATGAAAACGAAAGTGTTCCACCTGACAGTAATCTTTAAAAGAATCAGAGGGCGTTGAGATGATCACGATGCCATCTACTGGTGTGGCCTGTTGGGTGACCCCCAAATGGTCTGTCCTCCTGAGTGACCTCCAAGTGGTCTGGAGTCCAGAGTGACCTCCAAGTGGTCTTGCCTTCCGGGTGACCTGGTTTACAAGATTACCAACACCTATGTCATGGTTGTCACCGCCTGATTACATGAAGTAAAATTCTTCAATACTAATACTATTTTAACCTGTCCACCTCACTTCACTTAATACCAGAATGTCCCATTGCAACCTCTTCATCTCCCTGCAAACATTTGCATACTGCCGGCTTTCATATTATAATGTGCTCACATTCCACGTTCCTATTTTGAGTTTATGCTGGTTCATTCTTAAGAGCAAGAGATGAAACTAATGAGAACGGATGTCTCTGACCTTCCCTCAGCAGAAGACTACTTAACAAGGGAATAAATAAAGTTAGGTATGACTTATAGGGGTTGGAGGTGGCCATCCCACCACCACCCATGAGGATGGCTCATTAAGACTGGGGCACGGTGCCAATGATTAAGCTAGGTATGATTAGGACCCAGTAAGATTAGGGCCCAGTAAGACTAGGGCCCAGTAGGACTAGGGACCATTAAGACTAGGGCCCAGGAAGACTAGGGCCCAGTTGGACTAGGGGCCAGTAGGTCTAGGCCTAGGTATATATATATATATATATATATATATATATATATATATATATATATATATATATATATATATATATATATATATATATATATATATATATATATATATATGCACACGCACGTGGGCATTATTTTACCGTAATTTTCTTTTTATAGTTGATCAGTCCAAACATAATTCAAGAAGTGCTCAAAACATGACACCTGGCCCTTTAATATAGCATCTGCTCTGTCTGAGGTATTGATATTAGCTTGCGCTGGGACGGCAGACTACCCACTACTACCAGCCAGCCAGGCTCTGTGTTTCTTTAAAGCATTCATCTCTCTATGGAGACCTTCCATGACAACAACATATTGTCCTTTCACTGGTCTCAAGCATGGTCCACTGTCTCTGGCTCCCTGTAGCGAACAACAGCTCGTCCATGGATATATCTGGCAATTGATGTACGGCATTGGCTGCTAGATTTATTGCATATTATATTTTAGATGTATAATGGTCTGCTTCTGTAAACAAAAGCTGCCTGTTTGCATGGTAAGCTACCCTCGAGGCATAATCTTCACTGGAGATTCTTCAGCCTCAAGCTCCTCTTTTCCAGCAGGTAACATTTCTCTTTCGCTCTAGAAGTAAACAAATCTGTCGGGTCAGTTTTCACAGAGCCTCGCACTTTGGTAGGTCGCAGTGTTGGGGTCACTTCAGAATATTCAATGACTAATAAGCTGATTTCTTTCTTCTTGACTACATCTGCGTTGATAAGTATTTGTCTCTCAATTCCTGGATATTCGCTTCTGGGAAATTGAATTATGGAAATAGCTGTTTCATGTAAACCGACTTCTCACAATTCTCGAGGATTCACCTTGTGTTGACCATCAATAATTCAGACATTTTTTATACTGTTTTCATGTTAACATATTACATGTGCTTTTGATCCTGAGAACTAGAACATTGCATTATCATTGGAACAAGAGGCAACATAATTTCCGAGACCGATTCTTGCTTACATGAACTGAGAACTCTACAATTTTTTGCTAAAACGTTCTTTCCTCACTCTGCGAACTTCACAAGCCAAGCAGAGTGAATCGGCATCAAAATGTTGAGAACAGGCAATGTGATAGTCTCACCAATGTCTGTTTCTAAAATCAGTGCCGCATTTCTTCCTTGGGGCAGTGCTCGCCAAACAGGGATTTTACATAGTAATGGCTTACAGGCCCATACCCGTTCGCCCCCTACCAATCCACCCCTGCCAGTTAGCCAGTTCGTCCCATAGTAAGTCCGCCCCTTGCCAGTTCGCCCCCCCCCCTCCCTGGCATCTTATGACATCATAATCAACTTAACGAACTTGCTATGAGGTGTACTGGAAGGGGGCATTCTGGTAGAAGGCGTGCTGGTAGGGGCGTACTGGTAGAAGGCGTACTGGTATTGTGAGGTTAAGCTGTGAGGTTGAATTGTGAAGTAATGCTGTAGGGTTAAACTATGAGGTTAAACTGTATAACCTTACAGCTCTGAGGTTCAGCTATGATGCTAAGCCATGAGGTTCAAAATAAAGGAAAGGACCAGAAGGAGGATGAGAAGACCATCACCATGCATACGGGTTAGGTTAGGTTAGGGGAGGGGACTGACCTCCACCCTTAACACCCCCCCGACGCCAATTTAATCGTTTACACTAAGACAGTTATAGGGCGTATTAAAAATGTGTTTGAAGGCTAATTTATCGTACCAACGTTTACAACTAATGTTCGAAATGGAGAGAGTTTTCATAAAATATTGGAAACTTTCGCGTTATATTACCCATATATAACTTTATTTGAGTTGTTCTTTGGGTGATAATGTGGTGAAAATAACGTACTAGGTATTGGTGCTTCAATGTTGTTATTAATAACATTTACTGTCACTCCCTCACCCTCTCACCCCTCTTTCACCCTCAGTTTGCTCAGTTTCTGACTTTAGTCATTTCACTCTTCATAGTTCTCATCAAGGAATGGAGATTTGAGTGGCTGGCATAATGATTACTGTCGTCTGCAAATAAATTGTATTTTACGAGTGAGCTGGAGTGGACTATATCATTTATATACAACAAGAACAGTACTGGGCCGAGAATGGAGCCTTGAGGGACGATATGCAAAATAGGTGAGGAGTCAGATTGATGATTGTTACAGCAGACATACTGCTTCCTGTTAGACAGATACGAGGCAAGTCATTTGTGGGATAAGCCCCTAACGTCGTAATGTTCAAGCTTTGCCAGGAGGATGGTATGGTCGACAGTATCAAAGGCTTTAGAGAGGTCCAAGAATTATCCCGACTGTGAACTGACTGTCATCAAAGGAATTTAAGATGTCATTAGTAAAGGATAGCAGAGCATTCTCAGGTGACCTTCTAGCTCTGAAACCAAAGTGAGAATATGCAAGGGCGTCGTTGTCACTGCAGAAGGAGTTTAGTCTACAACATGTCATGTACTCTATAGGTGTTCTTGCCGAAGATTCACCCGGACTTCGCTTAATATATTGACACGATAAAGCTTCTGAGTCATTAATTATGCAGGGTTGATTTTATTTCCCATAATATCTTGTTCATAGTAAGAGCTCTCTCTCTCTCTCTCTCTCTCTCTCTCTCTCTCTCTCTCTCTCTCTCTCTTTACCTTGCTTAAGTCCAATTAACGCGCTTGATTAGGTAATTGTCAAGATCATTACGGCGGCCTTGGCAGGTAATGACTCGAAGCTTAAGCCATTTAACATGACCCACACGATTCTAATTCCCCTAAGGTGACCTGACTTACCTGTGGCTTAGATGGGGAGAAGAAGACGAGGTAAGGTAGACAGCGTGACACGTTCCTCCAGATAGCTTACCTGTGTGTGGTAATCATTAAGGAGGGAGGGTATTGAGGGTGGAGGTCCTCCGAGATGTTTTAAGTGTTGTGCAGAGACAGGTTAAAGCATCTTAATTTACACTCCCTCGAGAGACGTAGAGTGAGGGGCGATATGATCCAGGTGTTTAAATGGAAGTCAGGGCTAGACAAATTGATATAACAAAGGTACTCAAACTATCCAACCAGGAGCGAACTCGTAGCAATGGTTTTAAATTAAGAAAATTCAGATTTTGGCATGAGGTAGGTAAACATTGGTTTGGAAATAGAGTAGTGGAAGAGTGGGAAAAGTTCCGAACTTAGTATTAACTCGAACACGCTGGGTAGCTTCAAATATAGGTTAGACGGATATATGAGCGATAGGGGTTGGGTGTAAACGGCCTAATATGGGCCAATAGGCCCGCTGCAGTTCCTCCATTCCTATGTTCTTATGTTTGTGTGAACGTGTTCACTGCTATAACACGAACCCACTTATGAATGCACACACACGCACGTATGTATGCAGAAAAGTACACACACACATACACCACACCACATACACACACACACACACACACACACACACACACACCACACACACACACACACACACACACACACACACACACACATACACACACACACACACACACACACACACACACACACATAGCATTCTTTTAGTACGTGGTGGAAAGGAAGAAAAAAATGACACATAATAAATATAGTTTACTCTCACAATGGTGCTCCAGTGTAGGAATAAATATTACTCGGCGGGTGAGTGAGTGGCTTACTCCGTCAGTGACAGTCACGTATACACCTCCTACCACACCTCCTGCCACACCTCCTGCCACACCTCACTTAACTTGAGTTTTGTTATTGACTCGAGTTTAATTTAGTTTAAGAAAGTCATATGAAGTGAATTGATAGGCAAGTGAGCCAGTGATAAAAGTGGGTCCCACAGGCATGACCGCCCGTTAGGGACAGTGTGGATACAGCAAACTATACACTAAGCTTACGGTACACAAGGAGGCAGCATGACCGGTACAGCAATCGACCACATTCACTTCCCCGTGTTGTAAACTTAGGTACCCATTTACAGGTGGTTGAAATGAAAGAGCTTAGGGATCGAACCACCGACACCTGGAACAGAAGGCGAATGGTGGATCCACTCGCTCGCCCATTTCGGAATCAGTGATAAAGTGACTTGCAAACATGTTGACTTATATACGTAATAAAGGAAGTCCTTCCCCACCTACTGTACCTTGTGTCACCTCCTACACTACAGTGAGTCTTTAAATTATGCGACAGACTCTTAATATATCATACGTCGCCTAACCTAACCTGACCTAACACCCCGGAACTATAGAAATATTGCTGAGGACGTGGATTAATAGTATGTATTAATTATACGACGTGGATGGAGGAGAGGGGGCAGTAGTGGTGGAGGAGAGGGGGCAGTGATGGTGGACGAGAAAGGGAGGAGCAGCTACTGACGTTTGGAAAAAAAAACTGACAAGTTGTAGCTACCAGGAGGAGCACTCTGTTTGGTTGTATGTGTAAGGCATTGTGATTCACCTGAGGTTTAGGCACCACAGCTTATTTCACCTCAAGATTAACCTAACCTAACCTAACCCCCCCGATTACTCTAGGATGAGATAAGCTTTGGGTGATCTGTTGCTCTCTTATCTACATTAGGACCGCCGTGAACTGTGACAGATAAATTACCAATTATTTTAGGGTTCATTAAACTAATCTATCAGTACTGCAGGTGTGTCATAGCTGTCAGTACTGCAGGTGTGTCATAGCTGTCAGTACTGCAGGTGTGTCATAGCTGTCATTACTGCAGGTGTGTCATAGCTGTCAATACTGCAGGTGTGTCATAGCTGTCAATACTGCAGGTGTGTCATAGCTGTCAGTAATGCAGGTGTGTCATAGCTGTCAGTACTGCAGGTGTGTCATAGCTGTCAGTACTGCAGGTGTGTCATAGCTGTCAGTATTGCAGGTGTGTCATAGCTGTCAGTACTGCAGGTGTGTCATAGCTGTCAGTACTTCAGGTGTATCATAGCTGTCAGTACTGCAGGTGTGTCATAGGCGTCAGTACTGCAGGCGTGTCATAGCTGTCAGTACTGCAGGTGTGTCTGAGCTCTCAGTACTGCATGTGTGTCATAGCTATCAGTACTGTAGGTGTATTATAGCTGTCAGTACTGCAGGTGTTTCATAGCTGTCAGTACCGCAGGTGTGCCGCGAGCCGTCAGTACCGCAGGTGTGTCATAGCTGTCAGTATTGCAGGTGTGGCCATAGCCGTCAGTACCGTGGTGTGTCATAGCTGTCAGCATTTCGCAGGTGCATCATAGCTGTCGCCAGTACTACAGGCGTGCTTCAGGCGCCGCACCGCATGTGTGCCGCGAAGCCGTCATCGGCAGGTGTGTCATAGCCGTCAGTACCGCAGGCGTGTGGCCAGCCGGTCAGTACTGCAGGTGTTTTCATAGTCGTCAGTACTGCAGGTGGGTCATAGCCGTCGTACCGCAGGTGCGTTAGCCGTCAGCACCGCAGGTGTGTCATAGCTTCGTCAGTACTGCAGGTGCATCATAGCTGCCCGTACCGCAGGCGTGCCCAGGCGTCAGTACTGGGCAGGCGTGGTCACAGCTGTCAGCACTGCAGGTGTTCGAGCTGTCAGCAATGCATGTGTGCCGCAGTTGCTGGGCACTGCAGGTGTATTATATTGCCGGCACTGCAGGTGTAAGCCTGGCGGCTGTCAAAAATGGTAAAAATATAGCC